TTATGCAAAAAAAAAACAAAAGAAAAACGCAAATAACGCGAGGCTATTCATTTAACTTTGCAAATTTTGCCGTCCAATTACGCAGAAGTTCTGTTCGCTTTCCCCTTTTAAAGTTGTTATACAATAAAACTGAAACACTCCGCGCACTAACGCTGTTAGTGAATAACGATCCTTTGAGAAAAAAAAAAAAAAAAAACGAGTTAGATTTTACCGTAAATTTTGTAAAACAGAATGTGCACATTTTTAGTTTACACACAATTCCAAAATTATTAAAGGTTTATGAACCAAAAAGAAAAAATTGGAACTGTAAACGACATGTGCAAACTTTACTTACTCTTCAGCTACCAACAACAATAGAAAAAACAAAACTGGAATCATACAGGAATCTACATGTAAACCAATGTAAACCAACCAAAAAAAATCAATGTTCTTCACAGATCAAACCGTACAACTGTAAGGTCTTGCAAAAAAAGAAAAAGAAAAAAGATAAAAAAAAAACAGAATAAGAAAATAATGCATGCCTTTTATGCATAATTGCTCAGCTACTTATATATAAATGCACTTTGCTACAAAGAAAGCAACAGAATAAACATAGACGCATGACAATAAATTATACAGAAAAAAAACCCCACTTTAGAAATCCCAATAATAAACAGTGAAGAATGAAAATAATATGTTAAATAATGCTGCTTGATGGGACCAAAAGTCTGAACTACAGATACAGCAAAAAAATCTACTCGCTCAACACAGCAGAAATACTGAAGACAACGTTGACATCTACAGCGTCTGCAGATACACAAACTAACAAACGCAGCAATGGTTCTTAAACGCAACGCCCTTCAATTTCATTACTGTAGTCTCGCTAATCGTTCCAATACCGCCACAATTCTTTTAACAGCCTAATATATTATTGTTTTAATTGTTTTCCTTTTTTTCTTTTCCTTGACGATGATCTCCTGCAAGTCAAGAAAAAAGTGTCTTTTTGGTTATGGGATTTCTGAAGCATAATAAGTGTAAAGAAATTGTACTAAACATAAATTTTTTTTTGCTTAAAGGAGAGAAGACGACATTTTTTATTTAGTTCGAGATAACTTGGATTTCGTGTTAATAATATGATCAACATTTCAAAGTACAGTTAAGTCATCTTGTTGTTAGTGTTTGTAGTTTTCAAAAATCCTTTTAAAGAAGCTGTAGTTTCCCAATTGATAAAATTTCTGCAATTATCATTATCTGATGCCTCCCAAAACGTCTATTCTGCTATTACTGTGTAGATAGACGGTTGTGATATAGGGGTTTTTTTCTACGCAAATTATTGGCTCTCTACCGACTCAGTAAATCCCTCATTAATTTTATCTTAACGCCAGTGTCAGTGCATCTTTCTTTTGGGTCTTCTAACTGTACGGTCAGAATCCATTTTAGTTTTTAGCCTCATGTAATTCGTATCTTATCTTTGTTTTTTCTTCATATTTTCATTTCACTGCTTTGCATTTTTTTTTTTTTTTTTTTTTTT